AGTCTGTTTCACAGTTAAACAGTAGAATATTCTTTTTCTTCAGCAAATAAACTTCACCAAGAGTTATTTGGGGAGGGGAACGATTCATTTAATGATTACAAGCGGATATATATCTTCTGCGGGTCTAATTATTGCTTACATATGAATGTTTCCAGCTTTCGATATGCAGTTTGTATGTTGCATACGTTAATTTCATCTCTTTAACATTTAATAACTGGTTAGTTAAAACGATATATATAATCGATGTAAAACATTTAATTAATTTAAGTCATATGAATATTTGAACACTAAAATGTTTATCATCACATGATCCAGTGTTTAATTAATTATCAATTTGCATAATGTTTGCTGATTATATGAATTCATACGAAAGTTTCTAAAATTTATTTCAAAATTCATTCGATGGTTCCTAAAATGTATTTCAACTATAGTATGAATGTTTGAAATTAGTGTCTTTGCTAAGTATCTGCAGTGTTGCTGCAAATAAAGATGTGATCAGGGAGAGAAATTTCTTCATTTTAATATGAGTTTTAAAATTTAAATTCAAATTATTTGTAGTATTTTTCTATACAGACACTTCGAAAATGTTCTTTAGTTCTCTTTGGGGATTTATAGATTAGTGGCGAAGAATTCATGCTTTCGAGATTCATATTTTTAACTATATATGCCTAAGATTGACTTGCAGTTGCTTGAAGTTTTGGAAGTTAGTTTATTATAAGTTATCCTTATGTGTTTTAATGAACAGCGGTAGATACCCCAAGGCATTTTTCAAGTTCTTCTTTAGTGATTCACTTGACCAAATTACTAGTTTTGATCACTGCAGTTGGAAAACAGTTCATACACTTCTGGGCTCCTACCAGGTATAATCAATGAAAGATTTCGAAAACCAAAAAAAAAAAAAAAAAAAAAAAAAAAAATTCGAGTCTGAACACCTTGTCTATAAACTTATACCTGTACTACTCGGCCTTCACACTGACACTAGCGCCCTCAAGGTGACACTGGATGAGTTGAATAGCCGCTATTCTGGAAATAACATAGCAGCGAAACAACTGTACTTTTTTTTCCTTTTGAACTAGTAGAAGTCTTAACATCAACCCTGGGTTACTGGAACTTAGCTTTCTCACCTGGCAAATGCATTTTACCTTTTTGGCGACCGCCAAGTCTAGTTCCCCCTTATTTTTTTCCTTCTCTTGCCTAAAGAGATAATAGGTTGTTGTGTCATTTCCAAAACCTTTGTCGTGAAATTCGCGAATGTAATTATTTATAGACAGAATTCTCCCATTCGTTTTTCTGTGATTCCCTCTACATTGATTTTGCAGGAACTGTTTTCGTAACATAACACTTTTGCGATTAGACTGTTATACATAATTATTTTAATTGTTTAAACAGCGTTTATATATGATTTAATTAATTTAACTTATCAAGTATGCTAAGTTTTAAATTTGAGATGAGATTTCCTTTCCTCTTTAGTCCATTTTACTAGCCTCTGCTTGGTTTCATTAGTATTATTCTTTGAATGCTTTATTGGTGCATTGCGCTTTCTAATAGCATTTGTTTGGTAAGAGTTGTGGTGTCGACTATATGCACTGATTGTATAGCACTTAGGACTTAATTAGTTTCTTTTGCTCAGATTGTTCTTTTTTATCTGATTGTAATAAGTATCAATATATGAATGCAATTTTATTATAATACGTACCATTTGTGTTCTCTCTTTATCTGATTACAATAAATAGCCAAATATGAATGCAGTTTTACAATAATACGCACTATTTACTTGTGTGTTCTTTTGAAAATTATCTTTTATTTCTGTTAAGTAGCCTTAGGCATGTATCCATAAATTCGAACTACTTTCATATTTCAGACTACTCTGAAAATTGCTTTTGTATGAAATATTTTCCTCAACCGTCACATGATCCTTTGAACGATCAACAATCTCCAAGGGGAAAAAAATTATTTGACGATTGCTTAGTTTATTCTCTACTGTTAAGAGCTGCAGAGTTATCTATGTTATAGAAATGGTTATCTGTTATTCATTTCGGTAAAGCACTAAAGGGTTATCTGCTTTATGGAAACAGCTATCTGTTATTCATTACGGTAAAGCATTAAAGGGTTGTCTACCTTAGAAGGAATACCTTTATGGGCAACTTTCTGTGAAAAAGTGTCTTGTATTCACATTATATACGAGGAAATTAGGAAAAACAGGTATCTTTTTACTTCGGTACACAGTCCTTATGTGCTTTGTTATTTTCAGTTAAATAAACAACTTCCAAAATCGCTCCGCGATGAACTTTCAGTATACAGTGTTCTTATCTACTTGTCTAGTAGCTGATCTTGAGCCATATCAACCTTCAAGAGATATTTGCCTTCAACAGATAAGGTAGCTGGAAATAATAAATGGAACAATTAATCGATAATTCACGATTATTAATTTTCGGAGTATTTCTGTCGAAGATGTATTACGACAGGCAAATAACGAGAGATTTCCGAGGAAAACGAGGAAGTGTTTCAAAATTATATTAGAATGTTATGCTGTAGTTAATTTTTTAATGAAGATAGTTTTATTACTTGAAATTATGCATTTATTACATTTTTAATATCTGGTGAATCAGCTGTTCTTTCGTCTTAATTTCAAATTTTAAAAAAATATCGAGAAATTTGAGAAGGTATTCTTTCTGCTGGAGCAAATATTCCAACGTAATCACCGAACTTTTATCGGGTCAGTCCGTAAGTTCGTGCGCATTAAGAGTATGCTTACTATGACGCATTTGAAACTTGTCATCGTATGACTAACATATTATTCAGTTCATCACCAACTTTCATAAATATCGAACGCATTTTAGTACTCATAGAAGATGAATATAGTTTATCAGTACAAACGTGCTGTGCTACATTTTTTATTTTTGTGTGGTGAATCTGCCAGGTTTGCAGCGATAAAAATTAATAGTGTACATGGTGAACACACTATTAAGTGTAAGGACTGCCCAGAAATGGTTTAAAAAATTTAAAGTTGGAAAAAGCAGCATTGATGATGAACCCCGTTCAGGACGTTTTGAACTGTTAGAACCAAATCAAACGATTAATTCAGAAGTTTATAGTGAACAACTTTGCCGTCTAAACTCAGAATTGACCAAAAAACGCCCACGATTGGTAAATATCAAGAAAGTGTTGTTTCATCATGATAATGCTAGACCGTATACGGCTCGAACAACGTTGCAAAAAATTAGTGAATTTAATTGTTAGCTTTTGCCACATCCTGCTTACTCCCCAGATATTTCCCCAAGTGATTTTCACTTATTTCGTGCCTCACAAAATTTTTTACTGTGAAAAAAATTAAATTCTAAACAGAAATGTGCACTATAAACTTTCAAGTTTTTTTTTTCTTCCCCCCCCCATCAAAACTACAGTCTTTCTACAGCAATGGCATAAAAAAGCTGCCTGTAAGATGGCGAGACATTGTAAATAATGGAGGAAAATATATAATTGATTAAAATGTTAAATTGTGTTTTTTTTATATTATTTAAAAATTTACCAAAAAATGCACACGAATTTATGGACTGACCCAATATTTAGAATTGATTTCGGATTGAGAAATCAATAAATAGTTGACAATATACTTGAGAGTCATGGTGCTATTAGAAACGAAGAGAAAACTTGCGCGGAGTTGAACTCACTATGACTTCAAAGACAGTTACTGACGCGGGGGTCGAATTTTCAAGAATTATGGGATCAATGCCGTCGGAAGTCGTTTCTAATTATAGAACTTCCTTTTATCAATCGTCTGGTGAACTTTGAAACACTCCTCCTTCATCTCTGTATCTACCCTGTGCCTTAAAGAAAGAATAAACATTTTCCCTTTCCCTCTTCTCTCTGTCTTTCTGCTGTTAGCGGCAGAAGTGTGTTGTATGTGTTGATTGACAGATGCAGAGCGGGAAGTTCAACCACTCTGACCGCCGCCGTGTGGTTGGAAAGTTTAAACGGAGTTGTTTTCTTTTTTAAAAAAAGACGGCAGATAACACGAATCTTCACACTTTGTTGTTACGGAAGAGAGAAACGGTTTTATTTTGAAGAGAAAAATTTTATGCTAACTGATTCATTGCGATTACATTGGGGTAAGGGGGAGTTCTTGAATCACGCAACTTGAATGACACAAGATTTTGACAGGATATGTATTTATCAGCAAGGATTTTTTAATCCTTTAATTTAATACGAATTTCGTGTTAGTCGGAGGTAGTCATCAGTTTCAAATAGTAAGCCGTAAACTTTAATCGCTGAACGCAATATTATTGCGAAACATTTTTTTCGATATAAATAAATAATATTAAATATTAAACCAAAAAGTGAATGTATTTATGACTTAAAGGCAGTAATATATTTGAAGCTTTTGTTTTACCAGGTTTGATGTGGATTATTAATGCTGCGCGTAATTCAAATTATTATTGACTATATGAGAATATTTTCGATTGTTTTTATGTTGAAGTATTTAGTGATTCTTTTCGTGTCATTTAAGTTTATCAAAAGGCATTTCCTATTTCACCGTTTCAAAAGCATATTTCAAATCTTTTAGCATCCTTACTGCTCGGATGTTTGGATGCTTGTTCTGTATAAATCCTGTATCGTATCGAAATGAATAGTAACAGTATATTAAAACAAAAAGTATAAAACAGACTTAAATTTATCAGAAATTACTGCTTAACTTGTTCATAACATAAAATAATTTATCAGAATTTCATCATGAGCTCTACACTGTATGAAAAGTTCAAGTTTGCATAATCAATTAAGAAATATCTGACTTCGATAAAATGCATAAAAATCCGTTTTGTTCAAAAACATATTAAAAATCCAATTCGAAATAACTATGTTACCTAGTGTATGATCTTAAAATTCTTCTTTACTTGCTTAAAATTTTTACACGTGTAATTAACATTTGTAAGTATGATATTTGTTGGTTAATTAGGAATTTTAAATTCATGGGTCATAATTGTTTATTATTTTCATTCTAGTGGACACCACATGTGACAGTACCCGAGGTGACCCTCGAGATCAAGAGCTTGTGGCTGAAGCGTTACTCCAGGCCCATGCACACTCCCCCAGCATGGAAAGGGAAGCCAAAACATTGCTCCAAAATATACTGCAGCAGTCTCCACAGAGGTTATCGTACACACTACCTTCGATGTATAATCCCGCAGTATCGTGCAACGCAACAACAGGTATTCTCAATTCATCCAGTTTCTAAAATGTAATGAATGAGTTCTTGCGTGAAATGCTTAAGTAGAGTATGAGCTCACAAAGGAATTTCATCATGAATTAGGTTTTAAATGAAATTACGAACTAGAGACTGAATATATTAAATTTTGGTGGTAAATCGGGTTCGTCATGGAAATGCTAAATTAAGTTAAACTATTTCAATGCTTCTGCTACCCCATCCATCGTAAAAATTTAATCAGTTCGCGATGTCAAAATAGCTAAGAACGTAAACACTGGTAGTACCTTCGGGCTGTGTTCCTGGAGAATGAACTGGCTGGCTGTATGGGGTTTAGGTTTTCCCCCATGGGTAACATATATACGGATGTGCAACGTATAATCATTTTCCCGTAGAAAGTTCTGCACGAAGATATCCCTTTTCAGAAGTAGATAAATTCTAGTATGCTTTCCTTGATTTTATGAAATCCAATCTGTGACTGTTGAGTCTCATTTATTTTCGCTTCGTTTGCTTTAAAAATTTAGATCGTCTTATAAGTTCTAAACTTACAATTTTGATTGAATGTATCGGTTTTATTAAGAAGTGAGATACATTTGGAAAAAAATTCTCTTACTTAGATTGATTTACAGTACTGTCGCTACGAACCTCCATGTTATTCAGTCTATGTATTTTCCAGCATAAATTCACATCCAGTGTACTGGTTTCTGCAGTGCCTACATATATTAAAAGTAAAAAAGATTGATAACCATCTTTGAATTTCTTTTTTTGGAAGTTGGATCAAATGAAAGAAATTGTGCAGCGCGCTCTTTCAACTAACTACCTTCTGCCAGTTACTGATTCTGGAATCATCATTCCCCATTATTTGGCTTTATCTTTTCTTTCTCTCCTCGTAAAACTCCCTCACGCCTTGTAACTTACTCATTTACACATTCATTCCTTTCTTCACTGGCGTTAGTAACCGTTTTGTCTTGTCGTGAGTGGTTTAAAAGTAAAGGGAAAAAAATCTTTTAAGAATAAACGCGAGTTGGAAAGGGAAACAAAACTACCTAAAAATAAATCGCATCTGATTAATATGTATACAAGAGTAATTTCTTTACAAAGGAACTGCTAGGAGAAGAAAAAGGTTAAAAGAAATTCTTAGTTTTTCAGGTAGTAAACTGTAAAATAAACATTTCTTTTAAGAAACGTAAAATATGAATTAAGCCGAGAAAACCCGCTTTTGAATTATTTCGAAAATATTCTCTATCGTATGGTAAACTCTAGAATGCGAATGAAGTTTATTCGAAAGCTGACTAGGTCCACCAGTAGTCCTAGCGAAAAAATCGCTGAACAGTGGTAGTTCCGACCTGGGTTCGGTTTCAGCCGAACGGGCTAGCTGGCTGCATTGGCGTTTTCGTGGATTTCCCGTACGTAACGTGTATGTGTATACGAGCCAGTTTCCCTCAAAAAGTCCTCCACGAAGGCATCTCTACCCTTACGCAGATAACCCTAGTGTGCTTTGCCATAATTAACTAAGCCTAATCAAATGCTGACGAATATTGAATTTCTTTAATAAAATATTATGAAAATACCGACATTTTCAGATAGTTTCCAAGGTAGTAATTTGGTCTCAAGAGACATTAATGACATGGACATGTCCTAAACGATGAAATAATTTTTAATGTGGGCTTTAATAGACGCTCATGACTGGTACTTTTGGCCTCAGAAACTGTTCTTACCTGTGGTAGGTAATCAAGAACTTCAGAAACTGTTCTTCTTGTAAGTTCTAATGTAAAGGTTTCTTTTCTTTTACGATTTCAAAATATAGGTGGGAGGGAAGTGTTATAACATATTTCAGTAAAAACATGAAGAAGAGAGGAGAAAAAAGAAGCTTACTTAAAAAACTGTTAAAATTGCGTGTGTTTGTTTTTCTTTTTTTATAAAGACGGTGTTTTTCATTATTTGCAGTGTCAATAAGTGTTTTTTGTTTCATGAAAGGTAAAAGATTTTTTTAAATTAATTTATTATTTCAAGCAATGAAATTTCAGTCTTTTAGATCCGGTGTTTTCAAAGAACGAAGCTTTAAATAGCTTCCTTTCTCTGAAATAAATGGTAAACAACTAATAATCAGAAGCCTGTTCAAAGAATATAAAATGCTTCATCCTAATCTATAATTAAACTAATATGCTTATGCTCAAGAAAGTTCTTGTATAATAAGACGCGCCGTTGTTGTGATGTCGATTGTGTTATTTAGGAAAAGAGGAAGGGGGAAAGAGAACCTTGAATGAGCCTTAATTTCTCCCCGACCCAGACCTCGAAAACCCCTTCTCCCTCCATCGTTTTCTCCGGCCTCTTTAACAACGCGTTGGCCTTGTTTTTAGGGTTGCTATTTTGAAGTTTATTTCGCCAAGTTGATTGATGGAGGGAATAGCAGCCAAATTGCGTCTGCTTCCGTTTTTGATTACTCGCTTCTGACAGCGTTGAATGAAGAATTCATTCTATATTCTATTTTATTATTTCCGAATTGCGATTTTAATGCTGTAAATACGCTAATAAATATTTTTTCTGATTTAAGAGCGTTGTTTAAAAAAGGTTAAAGTTCAGTGGCAGTAAAAGGTTGAGTTAGAAAAAGTTTGTCGGAAGCAGAGAAAACTAGATAAAAGGGTAAAAAATATTTTTATCAAGAGAGAAGATTCAATAGAGAAAAAAAGTTTATAGGAAGGAGATAAGATTCAGTAATATTTCGTAATAGTGAGTAGTTATAGATGGTCCAGAGGTTAAAAGTTGGTCTGAGTTACAGTGTTGAAAATTGAAACATTGCAGTTATAACATTCTGATATATTTCTTTGATAAATTTTATTTCATGCCGTTTTCTTTTTAAGTCCAGTGAATTTCGTTTCGTTTACTTAAAGAAAATTTCTTATTTGTTGTCTAAAGCGGAAATCTTCAAATAATTTTATTTATTATATGTATTAAAGGATTTGATCGTATATATTTCCTGAATTTTTCTTCGTTAAAAACAGTTGAAAACAGTGTATCAGCATAAAAGCTGGGAAATTATTAAAAGAGATTATGTGAACTGCGTGATTATTAAATACCAGTTGGAAATTTTGCATTTGTATTTAAAAATTAGTGCATTGTTGAAAGTTAAATCAGGGTTTAAACTCAGTTGCATTCTGGGACCGTCACTTCTCGGGTTTTGAATGAAACTGTAATTCAAGGCGGAATCTCAAAGAAATTGAGGTCCGATGTTTAAGTTTATTACTTAATTATTTCTGATTAATTTTACCCTGTGGTATTAATTTTAATCTCTCTTCACTTTATTTAATTGTAATTAATTATTTTTGATCGTTTTATTTTTACTTGTCTTTCGTGACTATTTTCCTAGGGCACTTTTAAGTTTAGAAAATAATCTCTGATGCAGTTTTCAGCTAGAATGCTTTTAATATGATTCTTCTAATAGTCGAACATCGTAACTGCAGTTATGTGTTCTGCCTCTTTGATACAGCAATAAACAATTGTAACTATGGAATATATAAAAATCCTATAAATACCTGATTAATATATTTTTTACTTCAGTTCATGTCATTTCTTTGTAATCGTTTGTTGTCTACCGCCCCTACTAATATATAAAGCAACAGCCTCTTTGTGTGATGTATAGTAACTTTCACAAAGTATAAAGAAATTAAATTTCCACTTAAACTGACAAAACCTGATTTCTGCATCCGTTTCTATCTCCAGTACTTTGATTGTGAAGATTACGTTTCCATACATAATTTGAAGAATCTTTTAATTATTAACGCAATTTCTAAAAAGTTCTGAAATGTAGGCTAAATGCGAGCCAATTCCCATAAGAAAATCCTTCATGAAGGCCTTCTTTTGTAGAGTAATTAAAATAATTACTGTTAATAAAACCATTAAAACACAATGCTGTAATTAGAATAATGCCACTCCTGGAGTTCTCTAAACATGCGGAAGTCTTAACGTTAACGTGAGCCGTAGATGTGTTCAGCATATTGAACTCAAAAGTTTGCATTGCTTATTTATAGGGATACAAAAAGGAAATTGAAATTCTGTTGTATTAACGTGATAGGGATTTAAGGCGTATATGTGTACACGCCCATTCCTAATCAAATTGTTGGTTTCTCCCTCTTCTTAACTTCAGACATAACACAAGACGCGGAGTTAAACGCATTTTCTGATAGTAGTAGGCACATGTTTCTAATACATTTGGATGGAGAGAAAGGAGCAGTGATCAGTTGAATGACCAAGAGCTTCCACATAAATGTCTTTTATTTTACGCTTGATCCGAGAACATCATAGCTTAGAGTGAACTGTTTTATGTATTTCATGGGTCAAGAATTTCTGCTTGTAATAATTATATTATAGAAGCTTTCATTTGACAGGGTGTTCAAATTAGCTCTTAGAGCCAGATATGCGATAAAGAGCGCCAATTGTATGAGGCGACTGTTCTGCGAACTACCGCTATCCACATCCATGTGTGTTCGCGAAGTGAGCGAGCGAAATTTTCAAGGCTACAGCTCAAAAGGGGAATGGCCGATCTGGCGCAAGTCGTACTACACGCGCCGCTTCTGATTGGCTAAGAGCCCGGCGGTTCGCGTGTAGCGGTGCGAGGGGCTAGGAGCCTTCTTCAAGGACATAACGCAATCCTTTTTGGTATTTTATTACAATATTTTTGATCTTTTGACTTCCCCAGGCTCTTTTGCTGAGGATTTCAATTTGACATCCTCAGACTAGCATAAGAAATATTTCCGTCGATTCAAAATTGTATAGATTGTCGAAGAGTTTTCCCTTGTAATAGGGAAAAAAAAAAAAATAATTGTGAGACAAAGAACAAAGACTTTTTTCCCCTCCGAAGACTGGCGTTGAACTTGAGCTTGACATTTTTAGCTTCTTGAATTGCAAAATATTAAATTCGAATACTGGCGAGAGAGAGATCTGAAAATAAAACTTAAAAACCTAATAACGTAGAGTTGTTATTTGTCTTATAAGCAGGGCTGTATTAAG